GCAAACTGAAGCCCCCGCCTCAAGCACAGCTCAGTGGAAAGGAGATTCTGGAGCAAAGGCTCAAACTAATTCCATGAGGGGGAGAACTGGGGCAGATGGGGGGGAGAGATCTTTGGCTCTGACAGGAAGCAGTCACTGGGGGGGGGGGAATTTAAACCAACCAAATACTTGTGCCATGCAAAACCCAGCAGGATAACTTTTAGTTGCAGTCCCTGGGTCAGAGCCCCTTGCTGAGGCCCAGCAACAATTTCTCTGAGCATGTACAAAGTACCTTTCCCTCCTGACAGAATAAATGCATCACCCTGCCACCTGGGAATGATATGGTCACAGGAGAATGTAAGCAGTGCAGCAGCACAGGACTCTTCCACCACCCCCCGCAGGGTCTGAAGTGACCCCTACCTTCAGGCTGGCCTTCAACTCCCTCCAAGGACATGGCCAAGTCAGCACTTCCCTGAGCACCTGCTGGGGAGCTGCTGCTTGCCCCACTTCTATTTTTGCGTGCTGTGATCAGTCACCAGGCACCCTGGCCTGTCATGCATCAGCCCTTGCACCTGGTGTAGAGGACAAGGTGTAAACAGCCCTCCCCACTTCTTGCCAAGGTGCAAATGGGTTTTCAAGAAGGGGGTGAGAGGTATCGTTTTTCTGAAACATCCTTGCAAACAGCCTTCCCTGCACTTGGGCACAGAGTGAGATTTCCCCTCTGGAATCAAGCCAGTCTGGAAGGAACTGCCAGCAGCCCCTGCTCACGGGGTGGTTGCCTCCCCAGCAAGCAACAGATATGCAGTCAACCTTAGCCTTAGAACTGCAGAGCTGGAAGGGACCCTATGGATCATCAAGTCCATCCCTTATCAGGGAGGCATGGGCGGGGGGGGGGATCGAATTCCCAACCTCTGACTCTGCAGATAGGCACCTAAATCACTGAGCTATTCCAGCCTTACTTTTCAGAACTCATTCGCAGTGGGGTTGTGTGACCTTAACGTGGGTTGATTCTGTTAGTTTGTATTTAACTTCATGGGATAACATCCATGCACCATGTCAGTAAACTGGGTCCTAGGGACAGAGAGTGAGGTGGGGAATGAATGGTCCTTACTCCTTCCTGCTGCTGGGCTTTCCAGGAGTGCCCAGCTAGCCACCACGGGCATCCAGGGGCGAAAGCCACTGGACCTTCAACCGCACCTAACCCTTTGGTCCTTCTGAGTCTCTTCAGAACAGTGAGTGCTGAAAACAGGGCACATTCTCGGGTCAGGGGAGGGCAGTTCTTAGGGGCAAACGGGGCATTAGGCTAAGGTTGCCACCCTCCCAGCCAGACCACTTCTTCAGCCAGCATGCATGTACACCTGCACATGTGCGTGCATGTATGCCCACTTTTGCTCTGGCCCAGCCAATCTCCACCCACTGTGGCTTCTGTACATCTGCCCCAGGACTACAGTAAGCACCACCTGGCATTGTGTAGGAGCCGGTGTAGGTCCAGGAACTCACCCAGAGATGCTGCTGGAGCCCCTTCCTCTCCACAGGAAAACAAGGCGGGCTGGGTCAGTCCAGGACCAGGATGGGGCAGTGTGTGGTGTCACTGGGCCCTGGTATTACTGGTGCAGGACTTCTTACAGAGAGATGCAGCTGCCTGGCTTGTGGGAGGCCAAGGGGCCCATCTTGCCAGTTCAGCACCCTCTCCTGCTTGAACATCACCTCAGAACAGAACAGAACTCAACAAGGACCCCTGCGGGTGCAGAATGGCTCCTTAGAACAAAGGACCCTCCAGCTGAGACCTCTGTGCCATTGGGCCTCTTGGAGACCGGAACTCCCAGACCAGCTTAGAATGGAAGCAGAAGCGCAGCGAAAGGCCTGCATTCCTTCAGCCCCCACAGCATCCTCTTGGTCGCCCTGGAGTTGTTCCCACCCCCACCCCCCATGCAGGCACTCTGCAGAGGCAATCCTGCACCACTGGGATGGATGGAAGGTAGCTGCTCTCCCCACCCCCAGTCCACTTTCCCATGCAAAGCGGAGTCTTTGGCAGCTTTACAACTCTTTATTGCACAGCACAATTCCTGAGTCATGGTTCCTTGCAGGTTTTGGAGATGCAGCAGTCACAAGCAGCAGCTATAGCTGCAGCTGCTGCTGCTGCAGTCACTGCCTCGCTTCCCCCGGCCCTGCCATGCCCATCATCCCTGGTTTCAGACAAGCTGCAAAACCTCTCCTGTCCAGGAGCTGCTGCATTCTCTCTCTGTGTGTGTTTCTCTCAGTCTCTCTCTCTTCCCCTCATTTCTACCATGCGCCTTTCCTCTTGGTCATGGAACTCAAGGGCTGCCCCAGAAGAGTTGAAGGGTGCCCCGCCTCCCTTGCTGTCTGTTTCTTTCTCAGAGCATTTACAAGTCAGCCCGTCTGTCTGTCCTGGGGCCGCCTGAATAAGTGGGCTTGTTCTCTTTCGTGCTCTGTTAGATGGCTTCTGCTTCCTGCCCTCCTCAGGGCCTTCTTTGTTCCAGCTGCAAGGAGCGGCTTAAGGACTTCATCTGAGACTTGTGCAGGATGGACTGTTGGCATACCTCCCCCCCACAAAAAAAAACCTGGCTATGAAAAAACTCTATTGCTCTGCCAGGAAGCCTTCAAAAGCTGGTCTGAGGCCCACCTTGGGACCCCAGAGGCCCCTTGCCAGCCCATCCTGCTTCCTAACAGATTGTCGCCTTTAGGTGTGCCTTCCAAGTCCCCAAGCACCCCTTAGACAGGTGACAGAAACTGCTTATTTTATGCCTTTGTAGGAAGAGGGCAGTTTCTCTAGCCACAGCGCGGAAAACGGTTCCCTCAGCCCAAAAGCGTAATGAGGTAACCGCCTTGGGTCTTTTATAAGGAGAAAGGCGGGATACAATACTTCAGTTAAACAAACGAACACGTGGAACGGTCGCATCAGTTCACCATCGCTCCAGCTCCTCACCCTGTTGAAAGGGCAGGAAGGTCCGCCGAAGGAGGGGCGAACCGGGAGGAGACCAAGTTGTGCCTCAACGGGAATGCAATCCTAGCTCGCAGCCACCTCCGCCGCTGCCTCCACTTGGGGCTCCGTCCCAGCCGCGGAGTCCCTGGGCCAGGAAGAGCGAGAGGGTCCCCGCCGAGGCGCTGGACGGCCCCTC